TAATGGCATGTAGTATTGGTAAAAATGAGTAACCACAGAAACGAGATTCTTTATGTCACTCATATTTATGTTCTTTAGTTGTATTGGCGGCATCAAATCACACCGATATATGAAGCACTTGGTTGGGATTTCGGCGCTGGCAATAGTTTAAATGTGTAAGTATTTCAGTTTATTTTCAGTTCAAGGTCAATCAAACAAATATCGTTTAGATTCAACAAGTGTTCAAATAGATTTTTAAATATTAATTGTTAAAGATGGCATTTGTTCATCATATCACTTGATCGGGCGGGTTTCACAACAATCAAGAGACTATATATATTTGTACATATTGCAAAATGCAAATAACAAAATAATGCTCGCTTGTAACGTATCGTTTCGTATCTTATAGTCGCCTCCGTACCGACGCAATAAATACTGCATGTAAATATGGAAATGAAGAATGTGTTGGGAATGCAACAGACCTATATGCAGAATGGATGGCTGATCCCGACAATAACCCGTAAGTTAGGCTGTGTCGAGATAAATGAAACCTTCATAACTGTGTACGCTGACATGCGACTGCATGATGTGTAATGTTCTTATGCCAATTTACATATGCCGAACTGGACGTACAGATTATAGGACACCCGTGACATCGCCAAGTCTCCCCATCTTCGGGCAAATAATTACAGCATTAATTTGCATACAATATGTTGAGTTTAGATCTGTAATTAAATCACACGAATTATATATACACTACTGTAAAATACATTATTTTAGCTGGAATTAATTTTCGCTGAAAAGACATTGGTGCTTTGTATGAAATTTATTTTGATTTTGACAAGTTCAGTGTAAAATATAGAAAAAAAGGTATGTTCGCTGAATTTTATTTTCACTGAATCATTCCTTCAGCGAGTGAAAATAAAGTATTCTACAGTATGGTAATACATTGTATATTATTTTCAGAATTGATACCAGTGTCCGATCTACAATATACTGTACTGCCATCAAGTTTGGATCATTAAAAGAATGGATGTTTGCTCACGAACAAAGTATGACGAATCCCGTGGAACGTACGCGTTTGCGATCCGCTATGGGTTGTTCAAAAGATGCTTGGTTACTTGAGAGGTATACTCTATAGTAAATTACCATTACTTATATAGTTTACACTCTAATTTTACCAGGAAGTAGTATGATTCGCACAAATACATAAGATCTGATGACACATCTTTAGCACTGGAAACGATGTATTTGATTTGTTTAAACTTGTCAGTAACATCTAAAACTGTCACAGTCTGCAATGGGCAGCCTTTCGAAACACGATATATGCTTTGTCTATGTTATGCATTCCAGGTATATAGAGGAATATTTCACGGATCCAGCACTCACATCTAATATTATAGAATATGTAAGATCTAAATCAGCAACAGGATTTTCTGTTGCATGGCACTATGTCATGGACAATTTTGAAGTTTTGAATTCAACGTAAGTATGTGTTATGTCAAACAACCATGGCAACGTAAAATCTTATATAACGTTTTTAATAGTGGTCTGCAAATATTGTTCGTGAAATTCCAGTGACAGTTCCGATGAAGATTGAAGGTTATGGTTGCTTAAAATATACAACTACGAACATCGACACCAGTATAGCAAATGCGACTAGAGTCTTCAACTACAACAATAATCACTTTTTTAATCTTTTTAACTATTTTCACTTTTCAATTGACCTCTCTAACTGTCTTCTAGTCTTGGTGAGTCAGCTTTTGATGTTGTATGGGACTTTTATCCATGGATGAACACGGACTATGATTTAAAACAGGTATATATAGAAAATAATAGTCTATATTGTAACGATGACCAATTATTCTTGTCATGTGTACCCGGTGTTTTTTTTTATAATTAATAGATAGATTCTTAGCTAAAACTCCGGGAGGTTCCAACAACAATTTCGTTTTCGGGTGACTTATGTTTTGAATTTCATTTACTGAATTATTTTACTTCTATTTTGATTCTAAGTTTTGTATTTTAACTTAGATTTCATTTCAAAAAGCTAAACTGGTTTGTTATTAGTCGTTTATAATAACCCAATGTTGATATATTCCAGTTATTAGGATTCGCAGCACAATTTCCTGACATGTCGACTGATGCCGCTGCTGGTTTCTATGATGCTAAACTGAATGTCGAGACGAACATAGCGTGGATGCAAAAGAATAGACAAGGGTTAAAAGATTGGCTGAATGATGTAGTCACAAAAGACAATATAGTGGATTTAACGAGAACCGAGTTATAGACAAGAACGAACTCAGTTTACTGTGTTTTTTTTTAAATATTAACGTGATGGTATTAACTCAATACAAATCATTGTATATAATAGTCTTGTTCGTTTTCACACTTTTTGTTTTTCAACAATTTAACTTGTTATCGTGACATTGTTTTACTGATGTGTTTTATTTATAATATATTCATGTATATACTATCATTTATTACTATTCTACAAACTTTATTTTTTTTGGAGATTTTGTTAATTGTGCAATATTTGCAATAATATGCCATGAAATTAAGAACTCGATTTTCAGTATGCAAAACATTTAATGAAACATATTGAAATCTATGATATTTCAACTTTACATTCTAGATTGGAACAATTATCTTTATTTACAATAAACAATAAAATTACATGTGAACTTCGATTGATACCAGCTAGATATAATTTATAATGCTTATTGGCCAATGGTGATTGTAAAGTTGGAACATAAGATCACGCAAAGTATGCCAACAACTCAAACGCCAACAGCAGTTGTTTAATTAAATGAAACTCATTTCTGCTTAAGTGAACTAATTGGCTATACTAGTATATAATGATCATTTTGTTAACACGTGCACATATATATGATCATAAAATGAAGTAATACTAAAAAAAATGTATTTAGTGTTCTGGAATGTTTGTAATTCAAAAACATCTATTTGTGACACAAACAGTTTTTTCATCCATCCAATATTATTATATTCGGTTATTCTTACTCTATTGTACCTTGACATCATCATTCCCAAAATAGATACGATACGAAATATATTATTACAACATTCACATAGAATTGGAATCAAATGCCAAATCTGATCAAATTTTGTAGAAAAGGTCTGGTCTCTAAACAAAAAAACGCCAACTTAAGGTTACCTATATAATATCTCCTGTTCTATTCATAAATTACGTTACATCTGAATTTGGGTCTACGAGTATGTAACTTGTGAGACATAGAATTCCACACTAGAAAAAGTTAACAACTTCAAAACAGCGAGGCATTTCAAAATAATTGCAGTTCGGATACGACAAGGATAATATTTGGTTAAGGTCGATGACACGAATCGTAGGTTTCAAAAGGTTGCTCCAAATATTACTTTCTTCCTTTGTTTGTAAATAGTCCACAATTGTTTGCACTCAATTGTATCCAATATTAAATGTATTGTTCAATGGGCTCGATGCAGGTTTATGAGCCAGTCAGTCCTCCTAAACTAGTACTTATTTATTAGTTAGTCTCCAATTCTTACCATTATGTTAATGTGACCCCTTGGATCGCATTCCCAAATAGTTCAATTGTCGTAAAACCTGCTATATCAATTCCCACCGGGAGATGGCGCTAGTCTGTCACAGAAATCTTGTTTTGCCAGAATTGTACCTGCTTGCCTCTGGGTAGAGTCGTATCCACGAGAGAAATATGTTCCCTGAATTCGGAGACTGGAAAAGTCTGGCGGCTGTGGAATGCTCACGTCAAGATTGAATCGTATTCGCCGTGCGATGTCATCTGTGGGAACCACTGTGTGACATCATTTGAATGTGAATTCTCTGGATATTTCAACACTCACAATTTGTAGCAGTTGATGGGATGTGATAAGACATGCGTTAATTTTCGTGAGAAGACAATGTTTAAACGATCGTCAGCAGGCGTGGATTCCGGCTGCAGCGACTTATTTTTTACAGCTATGAACAATAATTACCCGGTACTAAAAGACATCCGAGACTTTAGGTAGGTAAAATTATTTAGTTGATCCTTCTGTTCCTGATTGCTGCTGTTAATAACGGTTAAACTTGATATCCAATACATTGTATATAATTGCGCGTTCCGAATTGCGAAGACGAATAATTTCTCAAAGTTGCTTGTTGTAAACAGCGTCCTCCGTGTCTTACATAAGTAGTGCTTTCGTTTGAACCATAGTTATTACTGTAAAACATGTTGAACAAGTCATTGTCAATGACACGTCCCCGTTCCGTTCATATTTGAGTGACATATACATTCAAAGCAGATCATGACCGAAATGCACCTGCATATGTACAACACATAGTGCTAAATCTGAACAAAATCCATCCATGCATGACTGAGATCCGGTTCTGGAATTGTGAAAATGGCCTTAAAATGGCCATCATTCCGCTATTGTTAAGCAGATCATGAAACAAATGCACATATCTATTTGTGACATGATGTACCATGTGTGTGTGAAGTTTGAACTTGATCAATCCAGACATGTCTTGGATACGGACCCAGAACTGAATTCTTTAACAAAATGGCTGCCAGTCGGCCATTTCGAACTTGATCCGAAAAAAAAAGACGTGCATCAAGGTCCTATTATGTTTATGTATGTACCAAATTTGAACAAAATCCATCCATGCATAACTGAGATACGGGTCCGGAATGTGAAAATGTGCGATTTCATGCATT